CTGCTTCACCCCTGCTGCCCCAGCTTCTGTGCCTCCCAAATTGTGTCTCTACAGTCTCCTTTGAGAAGGAAGCTCCCACTCCAGGATGTGGGGTGAGGGGCTCTGTCAGAGTTTCCTGGGTCCCTCCCAATACCCCCTTGTGCCCCGTTATAAGACCAAGTGAGCCTGGAGACTTGATAATCGATATCCCTCAAAGATGAAGCCGCTAATAACTTTATCCCCTCTTGTCCTCCAACTCTTCCTACATTAGCTCTGACCACAGGCCCCAGGCAGCTGGGACCTGCAGTGGGCAGGCCTGATGCTGAGTAACCCCTTCAGGTCCAGGTGGGAAGCATGAGGGTAGACTGTGGGAAGGACTTCCTTGGCACCCAGGATAAGGGGATCGAGCATTTTGCCTTGGGAGATGTTGCCTACTAGCAGGATGATGCTTTTGGAGCCAACTCAGGGTCCATGAGCATGTGTGACCTCTAATCACCCAGTGAAGGTCCCTGTGCCCAGAGATGAGCTGGGAGGGACATTCCCATAGAAAAAAATCAGGTAGTCAGAGGGCTGAAGTCAATGGGTAAAGAGGGGTGGAGGGCTGTGGCCCTGCCATCACTGCAGTGTCAGGGGCTCTTCCTCCATCAGGGCCTTCGGGGGCAGCACAGAGACCTACAGCTCCCTTCCCCCAGTTTCAGAGGTAGGGAAGCCCTTCCTCGTCTCACACACTCCACAGCCTACAGCCTACAGCCCAGCAAGTGCCCCCCCTTTGTTTTTTTTTTTTGAGACAGAGCCTCAAGCTGTCCCCCTGGGTAGAGTGCCGTGGCATCACAGCTCACAGCAACCTCTAACTCCTGGGTTCAAGCGAGTCTCCTGCCTCCGCCTCCCAAGTAGCTGGGACCACAGGCACTGGCCACAACACCTGGCTATTTGTTGTTGTTTTTGTTGCAGCCATCGTTGTTGTTTGACGGGCCCCGGCTGGATCCGAACCCGCCACCTTAGGTGTATGTGGCTGGTGCGTTAGCCACTTGAGCCACAGGTGCCAAGCCAAGTGCCCCCCCCCCTTTGAAGCAGCTGTAACTAGAGGGGTAGTTGGGATCAGGGAATAAGAGCCTCTCCTCTGTGAGCACCATCCCCCTAAACATCCAACCTGCCTCACTCCCAAGTACCAGGGCCAGGACCTATGGCAAGACAGACTAGAGGAGGAAGAAGAGGGAGAGGAAGGAGGAGTGGGAAACAGCATAATAAAACACCAAATGTTTATGTGGTGCCTGCTACAGGCTTGGCCCTACTGAAAGAGTTTTACTTGTGGGACCTGTTTAAACCTTATAAGCACCCCATGAGGTCACTGCTATTATTATTCCCATTTTGCAGAGGAGGACCCCGAGGCACAGAAAGGTTGATGAACATCACACAGCTAGTAAGTGGCAGAACCAGTCTAGAAGCTTGACCAGCAGGGAGCACAGCCCTGTAAGAAGAAGGGGCCCAAGATAGGGGGAGGGAGACTGTGGAGACCCTTGTTCCCAGGGGTGGGTTAAAGACAGGGCTCCAGAAAAGCACACTGCCTCTGGGACTCTTGGGCTCTGTCCTGCACCTGGCTCTCTGCCTTTTCCTCCAAGCCCTGTGCAGGCCAGTCTTGGGCCTCTGCTCTGCTCTGCTCTGGGCTGGCCCCACTCTGTCTCCTCCATGCCTCTGTGCCAGCTCTTCCTGTAGCTCTGGTCTGTTTTCTCTCTCCCAGCTATGGGTCTCTCTGAGCCACTGCTGTGCAACTTGCCATCTTAGCACTGCAGTCTGTCAGAGCTGGGGTAGGGTTGAGGGGGCAGAGAGAGGAGTCTGGGAGGGGACTGATGCTTAGAGCAATGGAGCTACCTCATTACCCCTGGGGGTGCTTGAACTGCCTGGTGGCTCAGCCTGGCAGCATGCTGAGAGCTGGCCTTCCTGGGCCCTGGCTCCTCTAAAGAACGCCACCCCTTCACCTCCCAGACAGTTTGTCCAAGACCACCTCAGGAATTTGGCAAGACAGACTCTCTCTAGCTGGGACTTAGAGACCCCGGGGCTTATGGAGTCTGGAATTCTCTCTAGATCTACCTTCAGCCTGGGAGTCCAAGAGGGCATAGGATGGGACATTCTCCACTCAGACTGCCCCACAGCTCTGCTTGCCCCTTTCCCAGAAGGCTGAATGGTTCTGCTTCTGCTGTCCTGTTGGGAAGCCAGTCTCAGAGGGATAGGGTGAGAAGGGGGCAGAGTCTGATTAGGAAGGCTAACGGTGTCAGGGGTGGCTTGTACCTCTGTGTTCTTTAGAGACCCATCCCAGTGTTCGGGGACCCTGGGGAGCCCCACTGGTTTGTTCCCCTTATTCCTTCTCTCCAGAGGAGCTGGCTTGTTTTGCAATGCTGGGCATTCTTGAGATGCCCACAGCCCTTTCTGAATCTTTTTTCTTTTTTCTCTAGTTTTTATTAACATCAGCTAAAGTAAAAATGATGCTTTTTCTTTTCTTTCTTTCTTTCTTCTTTTTTTTTTTTTATTGTTGAAGCCTTTCTGACTCTCCGTCTCCTACCTAAGACAGCCCTCTCTGAGAAGGAAGGGTGGAGGGAGGGCCAAGCCCAGGTCAGGGAGACCCAGATGCCCAATCTCCACAGCCTTAGATTGCTGTCCTGGTCCCAACCCCCCATGAGATCCTCAGGGCCCTATCCCATCGATCCCCCTGAAGTATCCATGTCAGCTGGTGCTTGGCCCCTGGGGTGTATGGGGGCAGCTAATGGACTTGGCACAGTCAGAAGGTAATTAACAGGGAGGGGGCAGGGGCCACAGTGGGGTGGAAAGGGCACTGTTAATGACAATGGAATCCAACAGCTATGAGTGATTAGGGAAAGGGTGCTCTGTGTGTGTGAACATGTGTGCACGTCTGTGTGTGCGTGTGTGAGGTAGGTCAGAGTACCTATTGCGGCATGTACATCTGCATGTCCAGCAGTGATGGAGAGAGAGCATGAGGGTGGGAGCTCTCAGGTCTCTCCTCATCCCCCAGAACAAGGCCCCAGGTCCAGATTGCCCAAAGGGATTGGGATGCTGAGCTTCAGCCTCTGTTCCCCTGATCAATGAGAGCTATCCAGTCCTCTCCCATGCTCTCCTGGAATTCTGTTCCCAGAACCCTTCACCTCACCTGCCGGATTTTCCGGCAATACTTGGGCTATGGTTTAGGACCCCTGATGTCCTGAAGCCTGATGTCTGATGACCTTGGAAATACCCAGTATACCCTGGAAGGTCCCTTCTGCTACCCAGCCTCTAACCTTGCTTCAGTGATGGCCCCAGTCCTGCTCACTATGGGGCAAACCTCAGAACCCTTATGTCTCTCCCCAGAGCCTGCAAGTGTGGAGGAGCCTATGCCCCCCGTAGCCCCTGCAGAGAGGCTCAGAGGGCAGAGGAGGTGAGGGACAGGTGAGATGGAAGGCTTCCCAAGGATCCATGGCAGGGGTCCTCAAACTTTTTAAACAGGGGGCCAGTTCACTGTCCCTCAGATCATTGGAGGGCCAGACTGCGGGCCCCAGGACGAATTGGCTGCTAAGCAGGACAGGCAGTGGCACCAAAAACACCCGGCAGGCCAGATAAATGTCCTCTGCGGGCCACATGCAGCCCCTGGGCCGTAGTTTGAGGACACCTGGTCCATGCTGTGCTCCGGAACATTATCTGGTTCAGCTGCTGGCCCCACCTGTGTCTGTTCATAGGCCTCATCAGCCCCTCTGACTCTTCATCTGTGCCCAGCTTTGTCAATGGGTGTCTGCATGTGACCATAGCTGTGTGTCCTGTCCCTGTCTCTCTCTCTCTCTCTGCATCTGTACCTGGGCTCACCTTTTAGATCTGATCCCCCAACTCTGCATCCCTCACCGTGATTCCAAGCCTTTCCTCTTGGTCACCACACCTGCTCTAAGTGTGCTCCCTCCCAGGGTGGGTGCAGCATCAGCCCCACCCATGCCAAGGCAGGAGAAGAGGGCCTGTGAACCTGGGCCTTAGGGACCAGATCCCCCACCATCAATCAGCCTGCAGCCCTGGGTCAGACCTCCATTAGCACTAACCAGCCTGGACAAGAGGCAGACACAGAACTGGGCTAGGCCTAGGGGTGATAAGACCCAGATTGAATCACCGGGTGGGGACTGCTGGCACCCAGGGACATGAGACAGCCATTTGATTAGCCCTGAGGAGCTGCGGGAGCATGTGTTATTGCAGGAGCTGGGCAGGTGATTAGAAGTGATGGGCTGCGGGTTAGAGGGAAGCTGCCCCTCTCGGCTCTGGATGGAACACAAGCCTTTGAGTTGGGGAATATGGAGCCCAGGTCCCCTCATGTGATGCAGCTGGGGGGGACCTCACCCAGTCTTGGTGCTAACAGAAGCCTCAGACCACTCAGTTAAGGCCAGTGGTGTTCTAAGGGACAAAGGGGAAGGGAGAGCCCACCTACTCTCTTGGGGAGAATGACAGAAAGATGACCCTGCCTTAGTAAACAGCTGCCTTGCCAGGTCCTGGCCTCCAGGTGCTAATCCCAAAGCACTTAGAGCCAAGAAAAATAAGAGAAGGATGAAGGGGTCCTGCCTCCTTCACCAACCCCGCTCCTTCCCCGACCCCACCACATGTGTATGCACACAGATATGCATGATCTTTCACACACATCCATGTTCCGCTGTGTGCTCGCTCCGTTCTTGGCACACCAACATAAGGAAGACACACACCAGGACATCCAACTTCCACCCCTCCCACTGCAGCACCAGCCTTCCTAAACACAAGGTACAGAGGCGGAAAGTCAGGGTCTAAAGCTCTGGGAAACTTGGCCTGCAGCTGCCTATCCACCAGGTGAGCAAGGTGACCACAAGACTGGGACCCAAACCACAGTTATGAGTTGGGAGTGACAGCTGCATGGAGTAGGGATGGGCAGCTGAGGGCAGCCTGATGGGGGGAGGAGGGCCACCCCCACCTGAATCCCAACGCCCTTCTCCTGGAATGACGTCATCCCAAGAATCGGCCAGAGACACAGCCAAGGGGTAATAAATATAATTGCTATGGCGGAACCTTGCCTAGAGAAGCAGGAGCATCCTCTGCCCCTAGACCCCACCTCTCCCTCTTGCATGCTGAGAGTGAGTTTGATGCTTTGAGATCACCCTGGGGCTGTGGGAGCCACAGGGGTTGCAGAGGACAGGCTCCAGTATTCCAGCTACCCAGCCCCAACCCTAGGCCAGCCCCTAGCCCAGGACATCCAGGTAGACAGGAGGCGCCTGGGCCAGAGCTTGCAGCCGGGCATATACATCCTTGATGCTGCAGCGTTGCTGGGGCTCCCGCTGCCAGCAGCCCCGCATGATGGCGTAGACCTCTGGTGGGCAGGCACGTGGCCGCTCCAACTCACGTCCCTGTGTGATGCACTCGATCGCCTGGGGCCCGCAAAGAGAAAGAGAGGAGAGCACGCTAAGCTGCTGCCTCTGCTTCACTGAGGCTCCCATGACAAGGCACACGCTTGTCTGGGCTTCCTGGTGGCTAATAATCTAAGTGGAAGACAGTGAACACCAAGATTCCTTTCTGCTCTGACATTGAGAAGCAGGAGTGATTACAGCTTGACTCGGGGAAGCTTGCGTAGGATTGCTTCTAGAAGGCTGGGATCAGATCCTAGGAAGACTTGCCATGGCAGAGGCCAAGACATTTGCCATCAGCTTGGTGGCAAGAGAGAAAGGGCCCTCTTCTTCTCGGCACCAAAAGGAAAAAAGAAAATGGAGAATTGCAGTTAAAGGCCTTGAAAAATAGCTGTTGCAGGTAGTGCCTGTGGCTCAGTGGGTAAGGGCGCCGGCCCCATATACTGAGGGTGGCAGGTTCAAACTTGGCCCAAGCCAAACTGCAAAAAAAAATAGCCAGGTGTTGTGGCAGGTGCCTGTAGTCCCAGCTATTTGGGAGGCTGAGGCAAGAGAATCACCTAAGCCCAAGAGCTGGAAGTTGCTGTGAGCTGTGATGCCACCACACTCTATCGAGGCTGATAAAGTGAGACTCTGTCTCTAAAAAAAAGAGAGAGAAAGAAAAATAGCTGTTGCATTTTAAAGTAGAGGACAGCCCTGACTTCCTTCTCCCTTCTGTGGGTACAACTCTGTAGGGACCTAGCACCTCTGAAAAGCAACTGCACAAGAAAGATCAAAGCTAGACTCTAAGAAGGACCGCTAGAAGAGCTGAGATCCAAAGGAGGAGAATGGTAGCTGGCAGGGAGTGGCTGGAGAAGGAGCCTGGAGCCTCTTCCCTCCCCCGCTTAGAAGACTTGGGTTATGGGCAGCACTGATTCCATTCCTTCTCTCAATGCTTGAGAAAATTAAAATCTATAACCCTCTCCCCCACCCCACCAGCCTCCAGGGAGCAGACTGCATTAGAAGGAGAAATGGAAACTGACAGCTGCAAGCCAAGGAAAGGGTGGGGGAGCTGCTGTGGGAAACAGAACACCTGGGGCCTGCTCTGGCCATGGCCAGCCAGGAGGGCAGGCGAGGGAGCAGGACTGTCCTTCTGACAGTCTACCCTCCAGTCTCCCTGCTGTAGTGACAAGCCCTCTAGTTCTGTGCTCCACTTCCCAGGCCTCTCTTTCCTGCCTCAATATGCCTCCTAGGTCTATAAAACAGCTAGGGATGGGGGTGTGATTCCCCCAGGAGCCAGCTGGGCCCAGGCTTAGGATGGCAAGTGAAGGAAGAAAGGGAGAGGAAGAGGACAGGGCTAGAGTGGAGGGAGCACAGTGTGGGCAGGCTGTTGGGATGGGTGGGTCTCCCTAGGCAGTGGCAGAAGGGCAAGAGGGTCACAGAGTTCCCTAAGAAAGCAACTCAAAGGGGCAGGGAATGGGTGTGGCCAGATGGGGATAACCTGCAAGATGGGGCTGACCTCTGTGTTGGAGAGCTGGTACCAGGGCTGCTTGCCGTAGGTGAAGATCTCCCAGAGCACCACACCGAAGCTCCACACATCACTCTCAGCGGTGAACTTTCGGTAGAGGATGCTCTCGGGAGGCATCCAGCGGATTGGCAGCATAGTGCGGCCCCCCACCTGCCAGATGCAGACCCACCCCAGCCCAGTAACACAAATAAGTAGATGGGGCCACAGTAGACAGGGCCAGGGCTAAGAGGGGAAACCCAGGGTCCAGCTTCCACTGGGGCAACAGAGGAGACAACGACTCCTCCACAGGCTGAGGAGGGTGGTTAAAGCCAGGCTCTCAAACCCACACCACAAGGAAAAGGAGAGTGGACTTGGGACCCAGGGTGTCTATAGTGTGGATGCTGGGTGAGGGACGGGACAAAGGATCCTTACGCGGTAATAGTCGGTGCTGTAGATATCCCTGCTCATGCCAAAGTCACCAATCTTCACCACTAGTCCCTGACCCACCAGACAGTTGCGCGTGGCCAGGTCGCGGTGCACAAAGTGCAGACCCGCCAGGTACACCATCCCTGCAGCAATCTGGCTGGCCACAGCCAACAGCTGCCCCAGGCCCAGAGGCCCTGGAGCCACGTCCTCTCCACCAGCCAGCAGCTTGGCATCAGGCCCATGGGACCTGTGAGCAAGAGAAGGAGAAGGAGTGGAAGCTGGGAGCCCAGGAGCCTGAGGAAAGGGAGCCCCAGAAGCTGCTGTGATGAGGGAGACACTTGGGGGGAAATGGAGAAACGACAAAACAATGAAAGCAGCTGTCTGCAGGGGCTGGGATCGGGGGCTGTAATAAGTGAGCCCACCTCCCAGCCTTCCTCCACAGAGAGCCCAGGCCTCCCATACCCATGCCTTCCTCTCAGGCAGCCCCTCTTCCTCCTGCCATAGGCACTTCAGATTCAGATTCAGGCTAAGCTCAGGCTTGCTCCACAAAGCCTGCCCCTGCAGTGAAGAGGCCCTCCCTGCCCAGGCTCAGAGTCTGGAACCTGGGCATCCTCCTTGTCCCCTGTCTCTCTCACCTTTGCCCTCAGCACCCAGCCACACCTGTGGGCTCTTCCTTCCTTCTGAAGGTTCCCAGGGTGCCCACCTCCTCCCCAAAGCCACCATGCCAGCTCAGTCCCTGGTCACTTGTCTCCATTCCCCAGTATTTCTCCTTCTGAAGCTTTGCCTGAGCTGATCACTGCCAGGAATGCCTTTTCCTGCTAGCCAGCTTTCTCCTTATTCACTTATTCCAGGTATTTTTAAAAAATCTCCAATGTGCCAAGCACCACAGCTCCAGTGGAGAGTGACACAGATGAACAGGTCACCACAGCACAGTGTGAACAGCCCCTGGGGGCACTGGGAGTGGGGATGGAGAAGCAGGAAAGGCTTCCTGGAGGAAGGAGCATCAAAACTGAGACTTGAGTCCTAAGGAGAAGTGGGTAAGCAATTTGAAAGGGTCCAGAGCAGAGGAGGGTGATGCAGCTGGGAGGAAGCCCCAGGGGCCAGGCAGAGGGAACTACAAGTGCACAGGTCTGGGGAAGAAGGAACAGATGGCCTCTGAGGGGAAGTCTTCTGGACCCATCTAGGAGCATTTGTGATTCCCTCCTCTAATTCTCTGAGTGCTCCATCCAGCATTTCAAGCCACTTCTCCCATAGTCTGGGCCCCAGATAGTGGCATCTCCCCGGCCTGCATCTCCTGAGACCAGCACTGAGTATGCATCATGTCTGGAGAGCAAGGGGATGGCTCCTCTCTGGCCATCTCTTGGCTTGGGTTCCTCTGTGCAAATTCTACTCTGCACTCAGCCTTGGATCTGGCCTCACCTCCTCCTGCTCCAAACCCTCCATTGACTCCCCCAAGTCCACAAGGATCAGCTCAAGACTCAGGGGTCTCTCCTGGCTGAGTTCCTGTAGGCTGTGAATGACCCACCACTCCCAAAGGCATATGTGGGGACCAGAACATGACTATCAGCTGGGCAACCATGCAGCACTTGCTCATCAGAACCACAGCCCCCGACCCTCTGTCCCTCGTCCTGGGGAAAGTGAGGTCAGAGAGGAAAGATACTTGGCAAAAAAGGCTCCAAAAAGGCTTAGCTAATTGAGTGGCAACTGATTCCAAAGCCTAGTCTCTTCTCTGCTTGACAAACACAGGCACATCCTCACAGGAGTTATCTCACTGGGTAAGATTCAATTAAAGGACACATGACTGTCACACTCAGAGCTTAAGAGCAGGGGTTCTGTATAGGGTTATACCTCCCCTGGGCCATTCACTCACTACCTGTGTGCCCTTGAGCAACTCATTTCACCTCTCTAAGCCAAATCTGTGAAACGGGTACATTTCTTGAAGTTATTCAAATTATTGGCACAAATAAACAACGTGACAGAGCTTTTCTGTCCAAAATCAAAGAAATTAATTTTTTGTAACTTTCTTCAAGTATAAACTGCAACATATACTTGGAGACTAAAAAATAAATACTTATATTATTATACAAGGCATTTATGTGCAAGTCTGTCAAGCCATAACAAGAATGAATTGTGGCAGGGCACAGTGGCTCACGCCTGTAATCCCAGAATGCTGAGAGGCTGAGGTGAGAGGATCCTTTGAGCTCAGGAGTTCAAGACTAGCCTGAGCAAGAGCAAGACCCTATCTTTACTAAAAATAGAAAAGGTAGCCAGGCTTTGGGGTGGGCAACTGTAGTCCCAGCTACTCAGGCAACTGTAGTCCCAGCTACTCAGGAAGCTGAGGCAAGAGGATTGCTTGAGCCCAGGCGTGTTGAGTTTGCTGTGAGCCATAATGAGGCCATTGCATTCTACCCAGGGTGACAAAGTGAAACTGTCTTTTTAAAAAAAAGAACTGTAAAGTACATAGTGTGTGGAACATGGGAAGTGCTATAAGGTTTGCTGTTGTTGTTACTGCTACTGGAGTCATCTAAACTGCCACCTTCCACAGGTCTTGCCTCTGTGTGCCACACACAGGTACAACATGCTCGGCAGAGCCACCATGGTAGCCTCTGCCAGTGCAGCCACCCCTATGCCTCCTTGGTGTTCCTGGGGATGGAAGATGCCTTCCTGATCCCTTTTGGTGTCCCCCCACCTTTAGTTTGATAAGCAGGGCTGTGCTAGCAAGAAAAGGAGGCTGGGGCCACCATACCGGAGGAAGCGGTTGAGGTCACCGTGCCGCATGTACTCGAAGACCATGAGCAGTGGGCGGCCCTCGGTGCAGACGCCAAAGAAGCGCACGATGTGCTGGTGCCGCAGCATGGTGAGCAGCTCGGCCTCACGCTGGAAGTCCTGCCGGGCGCTCTCTGATACCTCCTTTAGTGCCTGGTGGCGGGGCAGGGACAGGAGGGCATGGGGCCCAGTCCTCAGCCCCTGCATGCAAGGAGGCCACCCACCCACAGCCTTGAGCCACGTCAGATCCTGACATCTCATGCCCAAACCTAAGCACTGTCCTGAAAAGATGGTGCTCCCAGAGGTGGGACCCCGGCTAGTAGCGCCCTGTGGTCAGGGTCTCACCTTGACAGCCACCAGCATCTTGTCCTTCTCAGGCAGTAGGTTGTGGCACTCAGCAAGGAAGACCTTCCCAAAGGCACCCTCTCCTAGCTCCCACTTGAGCACGATGTCCCGGCGCTTGATGTGATGAACACCTGGGAGGGGCCTTCAGGGTCAGCCGGGACCCTCAGTCCCAGGAGAGACAGGTAGTGGCAAGGGCAGGACTGTCTAGCAGGGCCCAGCCAAGAGGCTGGATGGGGACTAACATTCGGTCTTCACTCCCTCTCCAGGCCATGTGTTGTAGTGTGGGCTGCTTCTGCCCAGAGATGACATGGCATGGGCTAGCTGTGACCTGGGCAGAGCTGCAGCCAGGACCTGGCTGATCTCAGCCTGAGGAGGACCTGCTATGGCTGGACAAGTGTAGGGAGGGGTTTTTCTGGCCTGGAGTGAGCAAGGCTGATGGCCTGGATGTTTTTACATGCATACCATGCACACATACTCGCCCTTGACCCGCACAGTCCCTCACAAGCATCACTGAAGTATTGTGGGTTCTCGATGATGTGGCCTTGGAGCCCGGAGCCTTTGCCCTCAGTAGGGGATAGAGAGCTGCCACCCAATGTCATGAAATGCAAGGACATGGCTAGCCCATCCTCTGAAGACAGCACAGCAGGGCCTAGGAGGAGACACAGCCACATGGAGGGGCTTACCTACACTGCAGCACCTGCATGCAAGGTGCCAGGTCACCCCCACCTCATAACTTGCAGGGGTGGGACATAGGAGCAAGAAAGCAGGCAGGGGGAGGGGAGGCACCGTAGCTTTTCCTTATCTGGCTCTTGTCCAACCCCTGGCCCCATGGGCACCAAAGAACCCCCCCAAACCCCCCAGCCCAGACTGCCCAGACCCACTTAGTGCTTGACTTCAATCCAGCCACCAATTAGCAGCTGCTGCCTCTGAAACTCCCCCCAGCGCCAGCCAGCACTCACACTCACACACACACTCACCAGGCTGACACACTCACACTCACAGCCCAACACTCACACACTTACACACTCACAGCCTGACATTTGCTCACACACTCACAGCCTAACACTCACACACACACTCACAACTTCATAGCCAGGCTTTCATCCATGCCCCAAACACACTGACATACCCTAGAGACCATGTGTATACTGGTTCCCTGTATGGAGACAGAGTCAGGAAGGAAACAAAGCCAGTAGGACAGACAGACAGACAGACAGTGCTGTGCAGTCTCTCCACTCACGGTTGATCCCAAACTTGTTTCTCTGTCCACATTTGCTGAGCACGAGGAGCAGTGTAGAGAGGAAGAGACAGGCAAAGACAGCCAGCCCCACCGCCACAGAGACCTGGGGTGGGGGTGGGTAGAGCCAGGGGCTACTCCTGTGCCCCTAAGCTCTGCAGAGCAAACCACTTCTCCATCCTACACAGGAGCCCAGAACCAGGCCCTGACTTGCCGCCTTCTCCCTGGGGACCCCTGTAGCAGCTGTGATTTGGCAGACAGAGCTCAGGTTACAGGGATCTCGGGCTTTCAGCAGCAATGCCATGAGATGAGCCTCTAGTCCAGCCTCCCAACCCCATACCAGCTTCAGCTTCCCATGCTCACCCCAAAAGGTGTCTCGTCCTTCTTCTCCACTGGGTCTCCAGACGTGCTGTTAGTGTCTGTAGGGACACAGGACAGGAAGGTGGGTCTTAGCATGTCCCAGGTCTCCTCCAGCAGCCCCCACCCTGGGCCCAGCTGGCCTGTCAGGGATCAGGTGAGCCACACCGTCTGCCCCAGCCTCTGCTCCAGAGAGCAGACAGAACCTGCCCTCCAGCCTGGGCTACTCACCCACTGGGGAGAAGGAGACTGTAGCAGGAGGGAGGAGAGAGAGCAGTCAGACGAAGGAGACAAGCATCGAGCCCCTGACACCTCTGGGGTTCATCCCCCGGGTGAGGGTGGGATGGGGGTAGGACTTCTGGACCTCAAGGAAGAAGACGCCCTGGTACCCGGCTCTCTCCTCAGCCAGCCCAAATGGACGGAATAGCTCAGGGCTTCAGAGGTCCTGGCTTGGGGGAGGGGGGTAAGGAGGCTTCCGGACATAGAACTCCGGACTCCTTTCTGTCCAGTACCAGACTCCTCCTTCTGGGGTTGGTCACAGTAGAAAGTAAGCCCGGTTTCCCTGGGCACCTGGATCTCCACCCCAAGTGGAGCCCAGGAGTGGGGACAGGGTTCAGGGTGGCCCTCGCACCAGGGATGGGGTCCTCAGGGTTGAACTCAAAAGGGTTGTCCATGAAGGCAGCCACAATAGAATCCGCAGCCTGGCCAGAGGGGTTGGCAGCCAGCAGTGTGTAGTTGCCATTGTTGACGTGGGTGGGCTGGTTGAGGCGCAGGCAGCCATGCCGAACCGTCTCGTTTGCTGCGGGCTCCAGGAATTCAGTGAAGATGAAGCTGGTCTCGTTGAGCACGAAGCCATTGAAGAGCCAGCGCAGGGAGGGCGCCGGCTGCCCGTCCACAGTAAAGGGGATGCACCAGTGGTGCTGCTCCACCGCCTCCTGCAGCTGCACACTGGCCGGGACTGCGGGCCAGAGGAGCAACAGCAGCAAGTCAGGGGACAGCCGGAGGGAACCCACACGGGCCCTGCTAAATCTCAGGGCAAAGCGGGTAGAACCAGAAACCAGGCAGCAGGCCTAAAAGAAACAGGTCAACAGGCCCCAGGAAATTCACAAGGAGAGCCGTTGGAAGAAACGTCAAATAAATCAGGCAGCAGGGACATAAAATTCAGAGGCTTAAGGAACTTCAGTGGTGGGCCATGAATAAGTAAGTAACAGCTCTAGAGAAGCAGGCACCAGCTTTTGGCAATTAAACATGGAGTCTTTGTGGGTAAGGAATCTAGAAAATTAAGGGTAATCAAAGTTAAGAAGATGAGACAGTAGGACCTAAGAATCAAACAAGCAAAAAATATATACAAAGTTAAAAACGTTTTATATAAAAAGTTTAAAACTTTTTGAAAAAATATATGGGCTTAAAATAGACCCAACCCAGAAAAAGCAAAAGCCCCTCAAAAATAGAAGAAAAACATGCATGTATGTGTAAGTACATACAACTTGTACTGGGTTCCAGCCAGCACTCACACACCAGAATACTACCCAGCAGTGAAGTGAACGAACTGCAGCAACTCCTGTTAGCATGGACGTGGCTTAGCAACATGACGCTGAGCGAAAGAAAGAAGCCCGGCACAAAATGATACCTGCCGTGTACGAGTCCATTTATATAACACATGGAAAAAAGCGAAACTCAACTATGTTGATTGGGAAGCATACTCGTGAAAAATTGTGTTTATATCAAAGCAAGGAAATGGTTACCACAAAAATCAGGATAAGCTAGGGGAAGGAGTGGTTTGTGAATGAGGAGGAGCTGGGGGGCTGCTAAGAGTGTTGTTCAAAGTGCATGTTTTACACACGTGTCTGTGTATATTTCATGATAAAAGAATAAAAATGATATAAAGATGAAGAGTCAAGATAACGTTTTGGCAGACCTGGAGAAATTAGGCAGGGAGCCTAAAGGGGAACTCAGGAGGGGAATTTCCTCTTTTAAAACCAGGATTCAGGGCAAAGGGACTAAAGGATGGGCACGAAGCACTGAGAGCAGTGGGATCAGCCAGGCAGCTGGTGCTAAGCGCCTCAGGTAGCAAGGCTTGGGCAGGGGGCCAGAAAGAAATCCATCTTGTCCCTCTGGCCTTGATGAGCCCCCAGGACTTCCCCCAAAGGATCAGGTTTTCATGGGAATCTGGAAACAGCTGGGATGGAGCAGCTGTGGAGATACACATCCCACCCTTTCCTCCAGCCCCCTACCCTTTTTTTCAGGGAAGAGGAGATGAGTGGGGGTAGGAGCAGGAGCAGCCCCTGACACTCACAGGAGACGTTGACCTGGACAGAGACTTCAGCCCGTCCCACGTCATTCTCTGCCCAGCATGTCACATTTTTCCTGTTGAGGTTTCTGGTGACATTGGCCAGGATCAGCCCCAAGGATGGCAGACCCCCAGACTTCTGGATCAGGGAAGAGAGGGAAAATTAGATAGAACATTAGGCAGCTTAGAGCTAGGGGCTAGAGCTGATGTCTTTGGGGAGCCCCTCTGGCTGCAGATGGAAAGCAGAGGAGGGTAGGGGCAGGGAAAGAGGGTGGGAAAGGTTATAGAGAGAATGGCCCCCCTCATTTACAGCTGGATCACATATTTAATGGTCTGGAAAATCTAAAATATTACAAATAACCTCAAAATAGGCACAAAATACACCTACAGTAAAACTAAAAGCATCCCTCTGAGCAGCTAAACAGATGTCACAAGTCCCAAGAACCAAGCTCATATACAGCTCATTGGAGAACCAACTTAGCCCTCATTCTTGTTCTACACATAGATCTAAGCAACTTAGTCTGAGCCCGAGGAAGACCAGAAACACGGAGGCGGGGCTGACAGCTGGCCAGCAGTTGGAAGCAACAGCAGCAACATCGCATCCTTCAGCAGATGAGGAAAATGAGTAAGGTTAGGGAGGCAAAGTGACCTGATTCTGAATCATCATCAACAAATTGAATCAGATCCAGCTTCTTTTCCTAAGAAACCGCGGACGTGTCATGAATAAGTTCTATGATCTTAAGACAATTCTAATCTTGCTGAACTATGGGGGTTTGTTTGTTTTGTAAGGTGAAGAGGTGGACAAATTATTTTCTTCTTCTTCTTCTTCTTCTTCTTTTTTTGGCAAATTATCTTCTGATATTTATTCTCCCCTCAGCTGTCCTGTCACCTCCACTCCACTCATGGAGGGGGAGGGGGAGCTGGGGTCCCAAGAACTCTCCGCTTCTCTACCATCCCTTGCTCTCCCACTTGAGAGGGACCAGCCTCCCTTCCCACACCCACAGTTAGGGTGTGACTTTTCTATAGGAAGCTTCTAGAAAACACAGGTGGTAGCACACATGTAAATCTCCCAAAGAGAAAGAAAAAACCTGGAATTTCCCCTCCCATACCCACACTTAGGGTGTGACTTTTCTTTCTTTTTTTTTTTTTAGAGACAGAGTCTCTCTCACTTTATTGCCCTCTGCAAAGTGCCGTGGTGTCACACAGCTCACAGCAACCTTCAAATCCTGGGCCAAGGTGATTCTATTGTCTCTGCCTCCTGAGTAGCTGGGACTACAGGCGCCCGCCATAACACCCGGCCATTTTTTTGCTGCAGTTTGGTTGGGGCTGGGTTTGAACCCACCACCCTTGGTACATGGGGCCATCACCCCACCCACTGAGCCACAGGGGCCGCCACAGGGTGTGACTTTTCTATAGGAAGTTTCTAGAAAACACAGGTGGTAGCACACATGTAAATCTCCCAAAGAGAAAGAAGAAAACTGGAATTTCCCCCCAAAAGAGAGTTCATAAAGTCTCTCAAGACATAGATGTGGCCAGGTCTTCTCTCCTTTACTCATTCTAGGTACCTTTGCTCTCTAGAGGGGAGGAACCTCCATGATTGGTGACCTTCTACCACATCTGGCCACCTTTGCTCAGGGCCCTGGTCATTCCTCCTTCAACATGGCTCCAGCTGCCCCTACCAATTCTGGGGTTGACTCTCCTGTCATCCTCCTTCCTATGAGAGCCTCCGAAGTAAACACCACATCTCCAGGCCCTGCAGCCACAGCCCCCATCTGTGCATCCACTCCTGCCACACAAGGGGTCAGCTTTTTGGGTGGGCAGAGCCCACTGTCAGCCCCTGCTGACCTTGTGAACATGGCCTCCCAGATTAGCTGTGGCCACTCTCAGCTGCCAGTCTCCAGCCTAAGGACAAAGGGCAAGGCCTGGGAAGATGCCCAAAGACACGTCTGGATAATAGAGATGGAGGCCAGAGAATGCCCAGAGGCAGACAGGACATCAGAAGGCCATCATGTCCACCTCCTCAGTTTACAGATAAGAAAACCAAAGTGCAAGCAGATTAAGGGATTTTTCTGAAAGTCGCTCCAAGAATTAATTAGTGAGAGAGCTGGAGCCAGACTTGGCCTCTTTTACTAATATGTTCATCACACACCCAAGAGGACACTGCTTCCAGAATCTCCAGAAAAAGTCCCCAGAGGCCCCTAAGAACTCACCCTGGGTGTGGAATCAAAGAAATCGGGCCCCTTTCCTGGGCCCCAGTTTTCTTATACAGAAAGGGGATATGTGGGAGGGAAGTCTGTTGAGATACTCTCAGCTCCAATAAGTGAGGGCCCTGGGGCCCTGTGTCTCCCAGACAGCATCAGTTTCCAGAAAGAGGCCTAAGTCTTGATGGGTCCAGTATAGCCCAAGGACCCTGTTGGGCCAGTGCCCACCATCAGTGTGCGTGCCCTAGGGGCTTAAACCACCTCTGCACATCGCCTGGCCTCCTTATTCATTATCTCTCTCCCACACTTTGTCTCTCTTTTGCTATCTTCATCCCCTGTGCCTTGCCTAGACCTCTTTGGGGGGCTGGGGGTAAAGGGTTTCTCACCATCACTATGGCTGAGCCCTCCAGCTCCTCGAGGATCCAGCCAGCTCGTTCCAGGCCCCGCCCCTCCACCTGGCACTGCAGAAACACGTCGTCCCCCACATCCACGGAGGCATTGGGCATCTGGACCTTCAGCGTGGGTGTGCCTGGCCACCCAGGATGCCCAAGGGTAAGGGGTGTTAGGACCAGGAGTGGTTGCAGAGCTCTACCCCAGGGAATTCTCCTTCCCCCACCCTCCTCAAGACTGCTCTGGCCCCTTTAGTGCTTCCCAGCAGGGAGCTTCCCAACCCTTATACCACCCCCAGCAAATACCACAGCTGGCGTTGGGCATGAGGGCCAGGGGTCCCTGCTCCAGACACTGCAACTTCTGCTCACGCACTCCACCCAGCCCCTCCTCCTCCCAATGCTGCAGCCATCGCAGGGCACAAGAACAGCGCAGAGGGTTCCCAGACAGGACCCTGGTGGGTAAAGGTGGACACCAAGAGAGTCAGGGAAAGGACAGGTGCTGGGCTTGAGAAGCCACCAGGATGAAGCATTTAGGGTATAAGGGAGCAGTTAGACAGCAGGGAGGATGGTCAAGAGCCAAGGGGTAGGGACATATGTGAGGGTCCCAGTAACCAGAAACAGTAGAGAGAGTTCTGAGGCTGCGGAGCAGACCCTTACCCCAGATTCACCAGGGTGACAGACCAGACAAGGGCCTTCAGTATGGTAACAAGGAAGGTAGGGCACAGCCTCCGAGTGGCCCAGAGGCCTGAATGCCCACCACATACACACAGACCACTGCCCCACCCAGCACTGGGAATGTGGTGGGCTGTCCAGGCCAGTGCCCCTACCCAGGAAGAAGCCCTGGACGGGTGGTCCTGCAGCCTCTGCATTGCTGGGAGTTTCACAGGCATGCACACAGTCCCCAGAGAGATGCCCCCCATCCAGGGCCACCCAGACACAAGCACATGCATGCTTGCTGCTCCTGCACTGAAGGGCCCATACTCACAGCTCTCGCAGGGGGAGGCCCTGCACAGTTTTCCAGGACAGAGACTCCAGAGCATTGAAGGAGAGGTTCCTGTGGACATTGAGACACATCAAGACAGACCCCATTTGAGACCCAACCTCACTCTGACCCAGAATGAGGGAGGAAAGGAGCCAAAGAGGAAGTTGATATCTGGCTCCTCCTCCCTAGGCAACTAGAACAAATCCAGGGATGCAGAGTGTGTGCGGGTGGCAGGGGGCCAGGTAAAGCTTTGTGAGCCCTTTTCCTCTCCCTGGGACAACAAGGGTTAACCCCACTTAACCCCTTCCTCAGACCCCAGGGACAGAGGGGTTCTGAGGGAACAGCCGTCTCCCCCTTCCCCCCATGGCCCCAGCTGGCAAAGTGCTGAGGCCACAGCTGGGGGAAGGGGCTCCATCTGTGCTCCGCCCCACAGAGCCCAGGACTGGTCAGAGGAGGGGGACTCAGCCCACACTCCACCTGTCGCCAAGGAACTCAAAATCTTCCTCAGGACCTTCCCCCTCATCCTTCCTGGGATTGCTCCTGCTTAGAGATGGAGAAGGTGAGCCCAGCAAGGGGCAGCTCCCAACCACACAGGAAACTGGTTTAGAAGCCCCAGGGATCAATGTCCTGCTGCAGGCTGCTGCTCCTGGGGCCCTCTGACTCTGCAGGGCCTGCCCTGCACCCTCTCCTTGGCCATTTGTTCTAGAATCTACAGGGGCTAAGTAGGAGAGGCACCACCACACAGGGACCAGAAACACTGCCCCCCTTAGAGCCAGACAGAGCTGGGTATAAGTTCTCTCCTGCCACCTATAGCTGTGTGGCCTCAGGCCCAAAACATAATCTCTCTTATTCTCAAAATCTTCATCTATGAAATGGAAATGATAACACTGTCTCTCTCACCAAGCTGACTGTTAGGGTTCACTAATGTGAATCCTGGAAGTGCTATTGAGTATACATTTTTAACTGAAACCCCAGTATAATCAGTGACATGATGTCTTTTTTAATTGTCGTTGTTACATTGCTGGACATGGCAGAGAGTTTAGTGGGCCCAGCATTCTTCCCATCTTCTACCTGCTCATGGTGAGGGACAGGGTAGCTGAACCTCTGAATGTCTCCCCTGTCCAACCCGATACCCCGTCTGTCCTCTACAGGAGGGTCAGCTGTGACTGACTCCCAGGAATGGGCAGGGTGACAAACTGCAGATCTGATACCTCAGCTTCCAGGTTACCCTAGGGGCCCTGTCTACGCATCCCCACCAGGGCAGGGGTGGAAAATGGAACCCCAGCCAGAAGCCAGGAATACTGTTCCACCCCTTCTCCCCTTTGGATTGGTGTGTATCTGAGCCCTGCAAAGAGAGACAGGGTGGGTATCTATGAGAAGTAGCCCTGCAGCATGGAGCATGGAAGGGAGACAGTAGGAAGGACCTCTCTAACTGGCAGGGGTAAGAGCAGGCCATCCCTGAAGTGGACGAGAAAAGGCTGCAGGAGAATGGGTGAAACGATGTCTCTGACCAGGCTGGGCCTTCCTCAGAACAGGTCCCTGGGGAGGGCCAAGCCCATTAGCAGCCCAAGTCTGGGTGGCCTCCCACCCCCCAGTGCCTGGTCCTAGCCACTCACAGGCGACTAAGCCGAGGAGTGAAATGGAAGGCTTCCGGCGCCACAGAACGGAGACCACTCTTCACGATGGTGCTGTGGAGGGTACAGGAGGGTCAGCCCCACACTCTACTACTCTGGGCTCCTGGCCTCTCTGCCCAGCCCCATCACTGAGCCCTATACCCTTCCCCAGCCCACTCATAATTTCCTCAGCCACCCTAGACCCTCTAAACTTCCTCACCACCCCTGTGAGTCAGTGCTCAGCCTCCCAGGCCTTCCCAAACCTTCCCAGGCCCTTGGACCCTGGAGTCTTTCCTGACCTTCTGGTCCCCCCAGCATCCACACTGAGCCCTTGGACCCTGGAGTCTTTCCTGACCTTCTGGTCCCCCCAGCATCCACACTGAGCCCCACACCCGCCCAGTCCCTGGTTCCCTCACAGGTTTCTCAGCTCCCCAAAACCCCTCAGGTCATTGAGCTCCAGATGCTGCAGATGCTGCTGGTTCTCGATGTACCTGTGGGAGAGGGGACAGGAGTCACAGGGTCGGCTCACACTTAAGTTCCCAAGCCTAGCCACACGCCTCCCTCATACACACACAGACACATGCACACATATGCATAGAGACCCCCTCCTCACAAGTCACACATGCATGTGTGCCGCATGAACACACACGTGCATATGCATACTTACATCCTCACACATTCATGCTTACACACACTCACATGCCTCCTGAACACACACACATCCAAGCATACACATTGGCATGAATATCCACACAGGTGACACACATTCCTATACGCAGCAACACACACGTGTGCACATGTGCACACTCACACCCTCACACATGCACACACATACACGTCCATTCTCAGCTTGGTGTCTCCTTTTGTACCAGGCCACCTGGGCTCAAGCCCAACAATGGGGAGCCATGATGGAACACTTGCTTCCACGAAGGGCCTGGGCTTATCACTGCTGCTGCCCCACCCAGCACAGAGGAAGACTGTGGTCAGGCAAATTTGTGTTCTCAAAAACACTTGATAGGGGCCAGTGGTGGGCTCACCCACACCATGGTACACATACACACACCCCAACCTCCCCGGCCCCTCCCCATGCTCCAGTAGCAACCCCTGCACCCCCCAACCTCCACCTTTCAGCAGAGGGAGCAGGAGGCACAGAGGCTATCAGTCAGGTACCTGGGGGGACCAGGATGGAGGAGGGGTAATGAGAGGATAGGGAGAAGGGGCAAGACTAGCTGAGAGAAACAGAAAGGCTCAGCGTGGCAGGGTGGGGACAGCAGGACAGAAAAACAAAGAGAGTAAAACACACAGAGAAAGAGAAATTGGCAGGAAGAGACTATCAGAGAGAGAGAGAGGCAAGGAGAAAGATAAGGAAAAGGAGACAGAGAGACAGACAGATAAGGACAGAGAGCCAGAGAAAGCAAGACGGGGAGACAAGAGGGAAGGAAGAACGAGCAGGCAAGACTGGGAGATGGTGGGGCTGGCACCCCAGGCCTGCGTAGCTGCTGAGTTGGGCATCTCAGGGAGTTCCTAAGAACTCGGCTACCTTGCAGTGACATGTCGGTGTGCCACACACACAGACACACACAAGTGAGCACACCCATGTCCATGCCGGAGCCCCTGACTCACTGCCATTCTCAGAACTCTCCCCTTCCCCCCCCAACTCTCTCTATCTTGTAGGAACCAGAACCACCGAAGTGACCCCTTTCTGTCCCCCATTCCCCAATCTTAGCCTCAGTAGAACAGCCAGGCATCAGGTCCTAAGTCTCCTGTGACTTAGGAAATAACCTCCAGTGACTCCAAGGGAGGGCGAGTCCTTGTTCTGTCCACCCCACCCGCAGCACCTGCCCAGAGGGTCTCAAGCTATAATGACCCAACCCCTGAGGAGTGAGAGTGCAGTGGCCTGGCAGGGTGTGTGGAGCTGTCAGAAAGGGAGCTCAAAGCTGCCTCACTTGTTTGGATTCATAAACAATCTGTCTATTTGAGTCCATTATCTACTCGTTAGCATTAGCTCTTAGGAGGGGTCTATGCAGGGGGGATTGTCAGGCTGCAGCCCCACCCTCAGGAACTTCTCTGCTTACCATTCTGCATGCTTCCCTGTACCCGGCCCTGTCCTGTCCACTCTCCCTACACCCCCTTCCTCCTGGGGTGAACCCCCTTGGGGCTTGGAAGGGAAGTGGGAACTGTGAACACAGACAGGCAGCACGCTGGAGCCAAGACCCTGGTTTCTCGAGGACCCAGAATGATGAGAGGACTGGCCTGGGGGTGGTTGCCTGGATTTCATGCTCCTTCCCATCATCCAGAGACCTAGGCCTAGACCAAGATAAGGCATCCTTCCTCTTGGTCTCCCTAGAGCCATTAGAGACATATCGAGTACCTTCCCGTTAATTACCATGAGATGCCCAAATAACTCAGTGCCAATTATTGCAGGCTGCTCAAGTAACTTCCAGACAAGGATGGTCCCTGCCTCGGATACAGTCCAGCCCTGTGTTGCATGAAACCAGGGCTCCTTTCTCACCCCCTAAGCCACACGCCACAGAAGGAGGACTTTATAATAGTTCCTTTCCTCTTCTAGAAGTCTTGCTGGCCCTGCCAGCCGCACAGAATACTCAAGTATTTTCCAGCCATCACCATGTGACACTTGAGTACCTCTAGGCCAATTACAGCATACTCCCGCAGATTTCACCAGCTGCTAAAAAGTACTGGAGTATTTTGTAACCAATTGCTGCAGGATGTCAGGGTACTTCAGAATGCCAGAGATTCCTCCTAGCTTTGGAGACAAAGGTGGAAAGGGAGGTGGGAGTAGGGGCAAAGAAGTCAGGAGGAGGGCCACATTTCCCAAATCAAGGGGTCCTAGGGATCGAGGATGATGGAAACGAGAAGAGAAGAGCTCAACCACCAAGCCATGACTCCTCACCACCTTCCACCCATACCGACTAAATTCCCAATTCCAAGGAAGAGCTAGGGTTGCCAGGTCATGAGAAGGAGGTGGGTGGAGCCTGGTTTAACCCCTAGAAAACAAAAAAGGTGGTTAAGGTGCCAAACTGAAGGTTTTTCTGCAGCTAAACACCCCTCTCCACCGGGCAGAGCCTGGGCGCCTGGCTGAGCTCCAGAACGCAACTTCTAGCCGGCTGAGCTCTCTCAAATCTGGTCCACGGAAATCTCCCTTCGCTCTCCCTGAAGCCAGGGTAGCAGCTGCTCTGAGCCCTAGGGGACATCCAGGAGTGACCGTTGAGGCTTGCTAGGGCAGCGGTGGCAGCAGAGGAACGCCAGATCATCTCTGAAGGCTGCACAGTGCCCGTCTCCTGCAGCGTCCATTCTGCCTGACCCAGCAAACAGGCAGCGAGTCCGCACCCTCGGAGGACAGCTATGACCGCCTGTTCCTGAGCCCCCAGTACCCCGACACTTACAGCTCGGTCAGGTGCTCGGCGCCCTGCAGGTGGTGAAGGCTATTCAGGGCCCCCGCCCGTGTGCATTTCAGCCCCGAGGGGCCGTGGGGGCAGCAGGCATCAGGGCAGGGTGCAGCGCCCACAGACGCCAGCATCAGCCAAGCCAGCAGGCTGCCCGGCCTCGCAGCCCGGTCGTGCCAGCCTAGCTGCCCGCGCTGTGCGCCTCGCTGCATCGCGGCGGCGCCCGCCCTGCCGCGGCCCGGCTGCCGTCTGTGCGCTCGGAGCTGGCCGGGCCTCCCCCGACACGTGCGCTGGGCGGTGTTAAAGGCCCACCCGCCAGGCAAGGGCGGAGTCAGCGGTCCCCGCCTGGCCCGGTCCACCCCGCCTCTCGGCTCAGTCCCTGCAGCTCTGCTCTGACCCCTCAACTCTGCCCCTCTTCTTTCCGAGGCCCCCAGCACAGACCTTCTCCCCAAGGGTCTCGCCAGTTCTGGGAGACGCCTCAGAGGTGTCTGCTGGGGGCGGGCAGTGGGAGGCTGAGACGTTATTTCTCCTAACCCAAGGCAGCTGCAAGGAGGGAAGTGTGACTGTGCAGGCTCTCCTAGCCCCCGACCTTTGAACGCCCACGCGGTGTGCGTACCCGAGGGACTGTACGTGTCACTTGGGGGTAAATTCGGTGAATCCCTCTATGAACCCTAAGAAGAAAAGGAAAATACCCCAAAAGGACCAAATGCAGAACCTGAGGAGGAAAACAGGACGGACAAAGAAAGGGAAAGGTAGTCGCCTAAACCCGACCACAGGTCCGGAAAGCCAAGATTGAGCCTTCCGGGAGCGGCCACTGCGGGGCGCTAGAAGTCAGCCGGTGCGAGTTCGGGCTCTGCCGGCAGGTGGGCGCGGCCCGCAGCCCCCATTGAGCAGATCGTTCAAACTCCGGCCGGGTGGGCAGGTGAGCTCGGGCCACAGCCCCCATTGGGCAGACTGGGCCCCCACTGCGCTATGCCTCAGGCCGCAGCATCAGTATCTGACCCTGGCCACCCTGCTCTGGCCCCCTGGCTGGGTAGGGCTAGGCGAGGCAGGGCTGGCATCGATCGCCTGCCTGACAAGAGCATCGATTTCTGCACGGAGAAATTAATAGGTCTTCTCTTAGCTCTTCGGACGCAGGAGCCGCTCGCGGGTGGAGCTGGGGACCCGTCGGTCCTTGGAGGCTGCGCACCTGGAAAGGCCCACCCGCCCAGAGGGCAGACACTGGCCCTCCTACCCTCAGCCCTCGGTCTCAAGTAGAAGAGAGAGAGGAGAGGAGGGTCCTGGGGGAGGAACTCTAGGGAGGGGACAAAACGGGGGTCGGAGGAGCAGACGTAGGAAGGCCGCCCCTCTGCCCGGGCTCAGCACAGATGATCCCCTCAAGTCCCTGAAACAAGGACGCGCGGATAGACTGGAATAGACCGGTTAAATAGCCTGAGTTCAAGAAAGTGACTGGACAGAGGCAGAACCCCATAGAGTGGTCGCCCTCTTCCCCAGAATCTTGGTCAGAACCAAGGGACTGGGTGACTGCCGAGCCTTGCGCTAAGGGGCCGGAAGGCGGACAGGGCGGGAGGCCGAGAGGGGCCGGGAGGCAAATGGCTTGAGTATTCAGGAGACCGTCCCCGTTCCTGCCGGTTGCAGCACATTCTCTCCGCCGGTCACCCCGCAGGTATCAAGGCCCTGGGAGGCAGAAACATCGATCCTCAGGGGACAGGCGCCACCCCCCACGCCCCAAGAAGCCTGCGGGGAAGGAGGGAGAATACACTGCAGCCGCTGGGGGCTCGCAGGTCGCTCAGGTCTTGGCCTGCCTTTCCCCAACCCAGTATTTTGGCCTTATTTCCCCAACAGACCGGCCCCCCTCAGTTGTCAGGCTAAATATTTTGGCTTGGCCAGAGGGGCGGAGAGAACCGAGGTTCCTGCAGGCCAATCTGTCTGAGTGGGGGCAGGGAGCGAGAGCTGGGCGCGGCCACTGGCCCGAGGCACCCAGGCGACTGGGGCCAGCCGGCGCTCCAAGGGTTGGGAGAGACTCTCTCCTGTGAAGCCCCTTGCACCCGACCCCTGCTTCCCTCTCGAAAGCCCTCCCCGGCCTCTGCTCTGATTGGCCGGCCACTTGGCTAACCTTTTGCTCTAAACTCTGTGTCACTTTCTCCCTCTGGAGGTCTCTCTGAGGCTCTCCCTGTCACTGTCTGCATCTGTCTCTGTCTGTCTCTGGATTCACAGAGTCAGTCTCAGCCTGCCTGTCAATGTCTTTGCGTCTCTGTTTCTCTTCCTTTTTCTGTCTCCTGCTGTCTCTGTGTGAGATTCCTTGTCTCTCTGCCCCGCCCCCCCCTTCCTCTCTGATGCCTGTCCCTTAGGGCCTTCCAGACCCCTTTTCCTCTCTGGAGCTACTTGGAAGAGAGACAAAACTGGACCTGCCAAGGCTGAGACAATGACAGTGCCCAGACCATGGCCCTTGGGAGCACACCTGCTCATGATCTTCCTCTCCTGGGGACCTGGCCTCAACACACTAGAGGGTGAGTTCCCAGCATTGGCCTCTGGACCCCCATCTCCCTTCCAGACAGCTGGGGGCCCAAACAACTGACCTTCCACCCAGAATGTGTCTACTTTCTCTGCACTGCCAGGAGAGACTGCAGTTAGCCCTCAGAAGGACTTCCCATTATGAGCAGTTAGTTCCTCACAGAAAGCTGTTTTTCTCTCTGCTCCCTAGGACTTCAGCACAGCAGGATGAATAGATGTTCTCCATTCCTGCTTTTGAAATCATGATCCTGGTAAAGCCTGAATGAGAACCGAATGAGGCTAAGAAAGTGTTAGCAGTTAGTGGGTTGGTTGTCTCTAGGGCCACAGAATGGGAAGGGGCAGGAACAAGACAGGTAGTTGAGAACCAGGCACCATTAAGTAACTGAGCCTATGGTGCAGATGGGGAATTGAGGTTCAGAGAACTCAGGATAAAGCCTGACGGGGTCCTGAGCTCCTACCTCCAGCACCCTGTCCCGTGTCCCCCATTAGGGCCCATCCATTGTAGGGGGCAAGAACTGCCTCTCCTTAGTGCTCCCTGTCCCCCCAGGCTAGACATGCCCCAGGAGGAGGGCCTGGGGAGTGGGAGGTGGGACTATATAGACTATATGGCCCTCACTGGCTGTGCTGGAGGGTTGGTGGAGAGAGGAAAGAGCTGAGGGTGGGAGATTCAAAAAGAGAAGAACTGAAGGATTACCCTCCCCTTGAGAAGGCTCAGGGACCCAGCACTCTGCCTGCCTGAAGGGGTTCCGTGATGCCCCACAAACAGAGGGCTTCAGGGGGCCGGGCAGAGTCTCCTTTTCCTACAGAGGCAGAGGAGTGATACAAATGGGCTGCTGTGGGGAGAGGTGCCCGGAAGGGTCCTGGTCACAGAGACTCTACCTGCAAGTCATAGTGCCCCTCCTACTAAACCCCCTCCATCTCCCACTGCTGTGCCAGGACAGGGCACAGCAGATGCCAGCTGGGAGTACGGTTGTCAGGACAGGAACACGTCCTTGAGGGGGGCATGTTTGGTCAGCAGACACAGATGTCCTGTTCCCAGTGCAGCTCTGCACAGAGCCATGACCTGAGGAAAGGCAGGGGTTAATGCGTGGAGGTCTTAAATGTGTTTTCCCAAATGACTCTCATCAGGGGAGCCCTGGAGAGGCAGGGGCATGATGGGAAGTGGGCACCTAAGAGAACCCCCATCTGCCTCACAGGGCCTGATTGGCCTTCCCCTGGAGGGAATAGAAGTGTTTTCTCAATCTCTCTCCCTCTCTTTTGTGTGTATATCTGCATGGGTCCAGACACACACACAGAGCTATTGGGCAGAGCCAAGCTCAAGACCATTAATGACAACCAGGGAAAGGTGTGAAGTAGCTCCCACAGGGCCAGCCTTGCCTGCCCACTGTCCTAACAAACTCCAGGGATGTGTGGTATGTGTGATGATGTGCGGCAGGTGTGATGTGGCTGGAGCGCTCAGTGGGAAAGAAATTGAGGCTGGAGAGGACCTGAGTGTCAGAGTGAAGAATTCAGACTTGAATCTTCTGCAATGCAGAGCCATGGATGGTCCGTTAGGAGCGAGTCTAGGCATCTAGCCCCCTTGAGGGAATAGTCCTAGGTGTTTTGGGAGAGAAAGGGAAGTGGGGCTGGGACCTGAGTCTGAAGATGCTAAACACACCTGCGTCCTCACAGGACAGGTGAACTTGGGATCCAGATGTCCATTGTCCATGGACCCTGAGTGCCCAGTGGGACCAGCCCTGGTCTGGGCATCATAGGGGGATGCAGAGCTGAATAACAAGGTCCCACCCTCCTTGGAGGTGTGACAGAGGTGTAGACAACAATGCTGGGTAGTACCCCAGGTATTCTGGCATGGGGCACTAGATCACGTGCAGCCAAGCACAGAGGAGAAGTGGTTAACTTAGGGTCAGAGGATTAGGGAAGGGAGGCTGGACCTTAGGTTTGCAGGACAAGTGCTGAAGGACTCTTCTGAAGCTGGAGATGGGAATAGAGACCAGTTTACACCCCGGAAAGTATAAAGGAACAGAAACTTGAATCTTTAGCAATGGGGAGCCATGAATGTCCCTTCACAAGTAAACAAGCACAGGGGAAAAGCATCAAGCTCCCTTAGAAGTGGGAGAGATGTGGGGTAGATGAAGTCCAAACCATTGCTTTCCAGTCACAGAATTCACTGATTCATGTATTCATTCATTTGCCAATATTTTATTGAGTGCCAATTTTGTGCCAGGGACTATACCAGACACTGGGATGCAGCAATGAATTATACAAATATCCCTGCCCTTATGGAGCTTACAACAATCAAAATAAATATATTTATACATATCAATGAATATATGTGATATATAAATTATATATTAGACAGTGTTAAGAACATATATATTAACATATAAATTATATATTAGCCAATATCAAGAATTATAGAGAAAAGTAAAGTAGGAAGTGTCACAATTTTAAATAGGATGGTCAGGCCAGGTATGGTGGCTCATACCTGTAATTCCAGCAATTTGGGAGGCTGAGGCAAGAGGACATTTTAGGCCATAAGTTCAAGACAAGCCTGGAAAACAGTGACACCTAATCTCCACAAAAAAGAAAGAAAGAAAGAAATTAGCCAGATGATGTGGCATGTACCTGGAGCTCCAGCTACCCAGGAGGCTGAGGCAGTTGAATTGCTTAAGGCCAGGAGTTTGAGGCTGGAGAGAGCTATGATGATATCACTGTACTCTAAGTCGAGTGACAGAGAAAGACTGTCTCTAAATAAATAAACAAACAAACGAATAAATAGGATGGTCAGAGAAGTCCTCATGAGAGATAAGGGAACTAGGTAGAGGAGAGTGTCCCAGCCAGAGCAAACAGAAGATACAAAGACTGTAAGTCAGGAACTCAGCTGGCTTGCCTGAGAGACATAAAGAGATCAATGTGGCTGAAGAAGAGAAAGAAATAGGATAAAATTAGAGGGGCCATAGGGGCCCAAAGACTGTGACAAGGTCTTTGGGTTTTAGATTGAGAATGGTGGGAGCCATTGTGCAGTCCAAGCAGAGGAGAAATGTGATCCAGCTTTGTTTTGAGAAGTGGAGAATAGACCAGAGAAAGGATGGAGGGTAGGGGTAGGGGAGTAATTTGGGAGGCTATTTACAGTAAATCCAGAAGAAGATGGTAGTGGAAGAAGTGAAGGCAGTGACAAGGGGTCAGACTCTGGATATATTTTAAAGGTAGAGCCACAGGATATAGGTGAGAGAAGGAAAGGAGGATGAGGGCAGACCTGGAGCCTGACTGCAAGAGTTGGAAGTGGGCCTGGGAGGGAAGATCAGGAGCCCACTTTGCCCAAGGCAGAGGTCCTCGTGCTGCAGTGAGCCCTCTGAGGCCCAGAGAGGAGCCTGGCTCCCCTTTCAGTGTCCTACTACCAATGTGGTCCCTCTGAGCTGTTAGGGCTTGCTGGGGAGCTTCTCCTGGCTGTACTCACCACTGCATGCCATGTGTGCCCTCAGTGTGCCCCAGCCTGGACATCCGCTCGGAGGTGGCAGAACTGCGACGGCTGGAGAACTGCAGTGTGGTGGAGGGCCACCTGCAGATCCTGCTCATGTTCACGGCCACGGGGGAGGATTTCCATGGCCTCAGTTTCCCACGCCTCACCCAGATCACGGACTACCTGCTGCTCTTCCGTGTCTATGGCCTGGAGAGCCTTCGAGACCTCTTCCCCAACCTAGCAGTCATCCGAGGCACCCGCCTCTTCTTGGGCTATGCACTAGTCATCTTTGAGATGCCGCACCTACGTGACGTGGGGCTGCCAGCACTGGGGGCTGTGCTGCGTGGTGCTGTGCGTGTGGAGAAAAACCAGGAGCTCTGCCACCTCTCCACCATTGACTGGGGCCTGCTGCAGCCGGCACCCAGTGCCAACCACATCGTGGGCAACAAGCTGGGCGAGGAGTGTGCGGACGTGTGCCCTGGTGTGCTGGGTGCTGCTGGTGAGCCCTGTGCCAGGACTACCTTCAGTGGGCACACTGACTACAGGTGCTGGACCTCCAGCCACTGCCAGAGAGGTGGGCACTCGCATAGAACATGACTGGGGGGGCATAGGCAGGGCAGCATCAGATGGGGCTGGGTGGCCACAGGATAGTGTGGGTCAGTACTTTGCTACTGTTTTTTTAATCAGGCAGGTACTACTATTGCTATTCCCATCTGGCAGATAAGAAAACTGAGATCAGGAAAAATTAAATAACTAATGCAGCATACAGCAATCAGGGGTAGGCACAAGGTACATCAGGCGGTCATAGCACAGGTAAAGGACAGGTACAAGGTGGGCATGGGGAGAAGAGGGTAGGAACAAACACCCAGGCAGCACAAGTTGCTGTGTGGGGCAGTGGCTAAGTACAAAGCCAGACAGCCTGGGTTCCCATCTCAGCCCTCCTGCTTACTGGCTGTGCTCACTTAGTTTATCTATGCCTCAGTTTCCTCATCTGTAAAATGATCATAGGGTTGGTATGAGGAATGAGTTATTCTGCCAAGCATCAGAGCAGTGCTTGGACGCTGGCAGCACTTCTGTCTTCCTAATAAGAGTGGCCACAGCACAGATGTAATGCGGAAGTCAAGCACTCAGCAGGAGAAAGGAAGGTGTGATGTGTGAAGAACAGGACAGGTGCTGGGTGTGGTGGCTCACACCTGTAATCCCAGCATTCCAGGAGGCTGAAGTGGGTGGATTACTTGAGCTCACGAGTTCAAGATCAGCCTAAGCCAGAGAAAGATCCTGTCTCTAAAAACATAACCAGATGTTGTAGCAGGTGCCTACAGTCCCAGCTACTTGAGAGGCTGAGGCAAGACCACCACTTGAGCCCAAGAGTTTGAGGTTGCTGTGAGCTATGACACCAAAGCACTCTACCAAGGGTGACAAAAGTGAAACTGTCTCAAAAAAAAAAAAAAAAAA